TAATCGTATGTTCGTCATTAAGTGAACTTTTTCACTTGGAAATGGTCAAATATATGAAGAAACATTATTTATTAAAACGGTATGATATAATAACCATTTGCTCAATCATTTTACAGTTTAACTTTCAATTAGGTCCGTTCCGCTTATAGTAATTTTCAGTCATTAAAATGTAGATAAAAAATGATATCAGTATACTCACATTTGATTTTTTGTACTGTAATAACCATCCAGCTCAGAGAACAAAACTCCATCAAAATCATCCACCTGAGCTACAAATCATCTCCACCATCTCACAACTCATTCAAGTTAGTTTACTCAATTTCTAGATATGTATGCACTAACATATCTCTGCTTAATGGAAGCTAATCGATATTTGATAAATAATGCATGGTAATTTATGATAAATTTGATAATTGGGATCTTCGTTATGTACCTTATATTTAAATTTCGGTGTTTCAGTATATTAATATGGTTTAAACAATTTAGTTCTTTATAGTATTTTGACGAAAGCACACTGTTCATCAGATGGAGCGAATATGACAGCAGTCGTATCGTGATAAAATTCTTTCATGTTTAACGCACTAGTACTGATTATTGATGTATAAATATTTTTCGAATACTTATGACACCGCCATTTTTGAGATTTTTATCTGCTATTAAAAGATTCAGTCAAATTCCCCAAATGGTTTCTTTGATTTGCGCCAATATTATCTCGAGTCGTTAATCTTGATATTTACTTTAAATATAATTGGAAGCAACATAGGGTGATGAACACATTAATAAACGTGATGTCAGGTAATTCAAACTGTTATTTCATTACGAAAATAATAACACACCTTTTCAAGGACTTTCAGAAGAGTTCTTCGATTGTACGAAATAAAAATTTTATTCTCAGTTGATCAAATCTGTTCTACTAGTGGTTAGAAAAAACCATGTTTACATCTATGTCAAATTTCAATTTTTAAATAGCATAAAAATGTTGCCTATTAAAGTATATGATTTTCGATAGTCACTTATCTTACCTGAAGAAGTAATTCTGCTTTATGTCTTGATATAGCTTCTTTTTCGTTTGTTAGCCTCATGATTAAGGCTTCCTGACGTTCAGAATCTCTGCGGAATGTTGATACGTCTTCCATTAAAGATGCCTTTTGTCTCTGAGCCTCAGATAATGATTCTGTAAGTGTCATCCTTTCTCGAGCCAAGTCACCCAATTCAGCTTCTAGTCGTGATCTAGCTGTCTCGGCGCGCATTGTAGATTCTCGTGCTTGTTCTAATTCAGATTGTGTTAAGGATTTTTCAGAATATAATTTTTCTATTTCATCTCTTTGTTCTTGTAATTCTACCCGAAGATTGGCTCTTTCTTCGGCTAAACGAGATTCTTTAGCATGTGTTAAAGAGATTTGATGGGTTAATTGCTCAGCATCATGCTCTTGTGACTCAAGGACTGTTTCTAGTCTAGCGATTCTTGATTTATACTGGTTTTCTCTATTATGCGCCTTAAATAAATAAACAATATATATATATATATATATATATATATATATATATATATATATATATATATATATATATATGTATTATAAATTAATGTATAATATAAGCTTGGAACTTAAATGTAATTAAGAATCAAGTATTGTTCACGCAAACGTTGTAAAGTTATAATATCAATGAAACCGATCCCATCTTCGTCAAAGATTAGAGACTAGTGTATTCTTTGAAGAAAATTTAGATTCACTGGTTTCGAACTTGTTTGATGAAAGAAACATAATATAACAAATGCTAATAAGATCTTATATGAGATTTTTAATCACATCCAGTTGTTTACGTTAAATGAGTCAATATGTTGCAGCAAACACTATCAAAATCTAATAATCAAAAGTTAAATCAATTTGACAGTGCTATCAGAATGTGTTCTTTATCACTTTGAAATTACTCAACTATGAAAGTATTAACAAACCATTTTTTCAAATGATCATAACTAATGGCTTATCATTTGTTCTAGTCATCATGAAATTCGTTTACATTAATGATCCATCTCTTCACAGTGACTAAAATAAATAATTTGATAATATATTCTTTTAAATAGTTGAGATCATGATTCAATTGAAGCTGCTGAAGAGTCCTCTTCTGATTTTAATATAATCTTTGTTGACAAAAATGCTTTGAATTTTATTCGTTCACACTATTTTCGTAATTAAATTATTTACTGTTCTACATAAAAACTGAAGGTTTATTACTTATATGATCGATCGAATGCTGAAGATTTTCAAATCATTAGAAAAAAGACTCTGAGCATTACATTCTGATTTACAGGAATTTTTCAACTAATATCAATTCATGAAATGAAAAAAACTTTCACAGTATAAGATGGTGGTTGGAGGTAGTCAACAGGAAACCCTGGACCCGGGCATCGTCTTATTTGGCACTCGTCAGTAAGGTGTACCTGTAATCTTGAGGGAACTGTTGCTCCCTGACGGAATCAATGTTGTGTCACCCAGCTTCACAGTCAAAGACATTACCACTAAGCTATCCCGACCGCGACTGACCTCCTGTAGGACTGAGATGCATTTACGATTGATTGATCACTGTGTAATGATCGAATGCTATCGACCAAGTTGCACTAAGAAAGACCTAACACACATGACATTGATCACCACCCAATGATCAATCAATTTTGAAATCTCACAGTGATTAGACAGGGAAAGTACTGATTATAGTTATTTTACAAATTAAAGACCAGATATACTAGTGAAAAATATTTTCCCTTTAAGAACTAGAACATCTAAAATATTAAATCAATGAGAACGATTTTATCTAGTTATTAAAATGGTTATTCCTATTATTAATACTGATGAAAAGATCAATTGTAAGAAGACAGAATAGTACAACAGACAAATAACTCGAAATTTATTGTTATTTAGTAGTCAGTGAACGAACATATATTCATCTGGAGCTCATAAGAAGATAAATTGAGTATATTTAAGTAATCTTCTGTACTTGAAAATTTTAAGGATCTGTATACCGATGATGTGTAAATGATAACTTGAGTTAAATAGAAAAATAGGTTTAGGTAGGCGTCAACGTATTAATAATCATTTTACTTATCTAGTACTCTGCATATTCAAAATACTCGCTTATTTATATTTTCTCAACCAACAAAGACTCTGGGATTAGATACTATTTATAAATCTATAAAATAGATTCAATGTGAGATTCAGTAGATCTATCTATATAAAAAACTTACGTGGAATTCTGCATATTATTTAACATCAGTGTCGTATTTTACAAATATAGGATAATACCCAAGTAACAGTGAAGTTCATTGTTAATGCTGCTACCATCCCTTATGTTCGAGTAAAAGATCATAAGACCAAAACTGACAGATCATTATTATTATAGTATTGACTGACTCTCACAAATTGATATATTACTATATATTTAGTCTGGGTGCCAACTGAAATCTGTTTGCCAAAACTTTACATTTAGCAGATAGATGTGTGTTATTGATTGTTTATCAAGTTTTTGTAATTAATTTGATGAAATAAATCATCAATTGAATTCATGATTAAAACGTTATATTACATCATCCATGTTCAGTTTACTTTGAATGACAAATGTTGAAATATTTCATATGAGTTTCCTTTTCATTACTTTTTACCATTTGATAGAAATTTCTGTCTATACTATATAATCCTTTAAGAGATCCACATTCTAACACATATTGTTACTTAATCTCTCGAAAAATTATTGATCCGAGTGGCATGCATTCATCTGACACTTTGTAAAATTGTGTTTAATTAATTTAAGAAAAAGAATGTAGAAATCAAAGCTCGGTTTAAAACTATACATTGTTTTACTGAGTTGACTTTTAGATACATCGATTATATCTGTACTTAATAAGAGAGTTAGTAAATAATTTAGTTTTCAAGTTTTTCAACAATATACGTATGCTTGAATATGCTTTACATTTTCATTGATAGTATAGCATGATAGAAACTTCAACAAGTAGTCTACAAACACAAACGTCGAATGTATGATCAAGTTAAATAACTTTTAATAAAGAAATAATTAAATTTATTTGGTTACTTGGTTGAGGTCTTCATTTAATTCGTCAATTTTAGCTTGAATTTTACCAGCCGCTGTAATTGCATCATTTTTCTCCTGGTCTAATATTTCTTTTTCTAATTCAACACGTCTTAACTGTTCACGAATTGTAGCCAATTCTTCTCGAAAGTTTACAGCACGTTGTTCTGTACTACCTAATGTTTTTTGTATAGCATCTAATTCACGAAGCTTGATTAAGATTAAAAATTAAATACGAAACATTGATTAAAACAACCGTGATATTCTGTAGGAGTATTGATAAATAAAATGTATTAAGAACGCAATCTATCAAACCAATATTAAAAAGTAGTACAATTACTAAAAAAACGTTTTTCCTATTGCAAATAAAGGGAAGTGGCTGGAGTTTTTCATATATTATCAAACTCTATCGCACTCAGGTGTAAGGTTATCCATCCTTTTCTTAACATTCAACAAAAGTGTTATATCTAGTATTACCAAGTATTTTTCCCTTTTATTTAGTGGGTAAGTGCTGCATATTGAAATGTGATTTTCACTGAGAGTTCCATTTTAAACATCCAAATCTGTCTACATCTATCCTCTATGAACACGCCGAATAAAATAAACAAATACGGGGAAAGTTAGAACTTGAAAAGAAGTCCACTATGAAAGGAGTGCCCTTATATGCAGCGATTACTCACTAAATGAATGGGAAAATGACCAAGAATTCTTGATACTTCAGATGCAATGAACATTAAAAAACAGATTCGTTATAAATTCATGTTCATGTATCCTATTTCCTGCTCAGTAGAAAATGGAGCCCTAACTATTTATCTAACATGGTTCATTTGTAAAAATATTCACAAACTTAACTCTGTTCACATCTTGCATCATTAACAAACATACAAATATTTTAACTATGCTCTTCTATATTACAGATATTAAATTTCCCTAAATCGCATATACGGAAATACATACAAGTAAGTCTCTACAGAACCGTCTTGACCTAAATGACATGATATTATTATGATCAGATCTTTTGATAGTACCAAAAATATTCTACATTATTTCCTCCTTAGTATTTAAGTTTGTATTAATTTAATTTGGTGATTTATTTTCTGAAGAAGCAACTTATACTAAGTTGCGAAACACCAGAAATTCAGTTTTCTACTAATTGAGATTTTACAAAAATATCATTAATTCTGTTATTTGTCATAAGTTTTATGTTTTATTTGAAATTAATCCTTAAATCGTTTCGATAATGGTTATGTATCATCTATTCATGAAGGATAAACACATCGCTTATAAGTCAAAAGGTTTGTTTTGAATATTTTCAATTTTTCATTCAAACAAATCACTGATAATTGCATAACGATAAACTTTTAGTAAGTGAATATTTTGTTAAAAGTAAGCGACTGAGTGTTTGCTAAGTTGATTGAATTGAGTTCAGTGATTCTGTCAACATGGTTTAAATACTGCACATTTATCTGGTATTCGAATTACTTACATAATACAACATTTGGAAGGATATTCAAACAAATTTATCGTTGTTGAATTACCTTAGTAATTGTACAGATGGTTAATTTTACTTTAAAACATGTTTGTTTGGAGCTGTTGTTATTAAACTTGATGAACTGCCCTTACTTCATTTAAAGTTGCAGAGATAGATTTGGATGGACGGTTTCAGACTGAACATTGAAAGAGAACTCGTTTAATTAAATAGTTGGTGATTACACATTGTCGATTAACTAATGGTTAAAGTAAACTATAATGGTTTGGTTAAAGATATCATTCATAAATACTGTATGGGAACTTGAAATCGACAACTTGAATGCTTCCTCATAGATTGTGTTGAATAAACAAAATCCATTGTATATTACATGCTTGAAGTTGGTTGATGCAAATTGGAAAGTTTAAAAAACTCATCATTCAAACAAATTATATATATGATGAGATTCGTCAATGATTGATGGTGATGGCAACACTTATATCGAAGACCATCATAATTATTGAACATTAATCCTAATTTCTCAAGTTATTGATTTATGTAGAGGTTTGACAGCTCAGTCGATAACGCCTTGGGAGCTTGAAGCGAAAGTTACTGGGTTCAAATCTCATCGTGAACATCAACATACCAAGATATCCATTCAGCGAGTCTCAAATAGAACAAAATGCTCTTTCTGTATTGCACTGTTAGCCATTACCAATATATTGTAAATTATCTAAACTAAATTTTCATTACAATTTTGGGAAGGAAAATACACCTAATCAAGTAACTATACATTGATTCAAACTGATAACCAAAATCCATCTGTTCTAAATAACTCGTGACATAGTGCGGCTATCGAAGCAATCGACATAAGATGTACGTGTATCAACAAAGACTGATCGAAATTCAGTTTCCGAACAACTGAAACCCTTCCTAATAATGATGTAATTTTGATGCATTTTATTACTCCTTCACTTAAGAAAATCTGACATTTTAAGCATTTTTTTAAAAGTAATACAGTGAATATCTAGTCTCTTGTATCACTCCATTGCACTGATTGCTTTCCATTTATTTAGTAGAGAAATATACAAACAGCTTCTTATTCCAGTGTTTATATGTGAATATTACAGTGTACTTGATAAAGATATTTGAAATATTTTCTTAATTCTTTTCCGAAACTATAATTTGAAATGAGTGCAAGAAAACTGTTTTAAAAAGGAATTAACAAACTTACTGTACGACCTTGTTCAGTTTGTAAATTATCACGTTCTGAGATTGCTTCATCGCGTTGTTTTCGCATATCATGCAAAGATGTTTTAAGGCGATCTAATTCACTTTCAATTTCCCGTACATGTTCATTTAGATTTTGTCTTGCTGATTCACTCATTTCATGCTCCTCTTTGGTTAAACTAAAGGAAAGAAATCCTAAATGTCATGTTCAAAATCCAATTTACTAAAAACACATTTTCAAAATTGAAATAGTTTGCAAAATTGATAATAGTTTGATTAGTTTCTATATAAATATACATTGACCTATTCTAATATTTAAAAAAATATGCGTTCTAGAGGGGTATATTTTATTGAGATCATGAACCGACCGATGTTCGACCACCATAGAAAACCTGGAATCCGTCCATGATCCCAATCAAAAACTTAAGAATCTCCACAACCCCATACTGATAACTGCTGCGTGTTCACTAGTGTCTAGCTTCCTTAGGAAATTCTCAAATTTCTAGTGAAACACCGTGACCAGTGGAGCTAATCCATGTCAGGTAGAGACAGGTATCTACCTCTGTAAAATAGAAAATGGTCGTGCATTATCGTGGGTTGGTTGAGGTTAGACATTAATACCGTTGGACGCCGGCTCACTGGTCTAGAGCTTAAGCGTTCGCGCGTTAGGCCAAATTCCCTGGGTTCGATTCCTGCGAGTGGAATCGTGGATGCGCACTGCTGAGGAGTTCTACAATAGGACGAGACGGCCGTACAGTGCTTCCAGGTTTTCAATAGTGGTCTAACATTAATCGGTTCATAATCTCAACCAAAAACTTAATAATCTCCACAATCCTATATTGATAGAATATTTCAGCAGAAAAAATCTTATAATCCTATATAAGTTATTGAATTCCAGAATCAAAGATATAGAAAATTATTATATGAAGTTTAAAAAAATCAAGTAACACCGAATGTCATTATACAATAGGTTATTTTAAAAGTAGATAGGTAGTAGTGTACACAGTCTATTTCACATAGAATTATAGACACAGAGGATGAGTATTCTGTAGAACCATGTTGATAATTAAGGACAATGAAATAAACAGCGTTTAAATGTGATGCAGATTCTTTTCTGTCGGTGTTTAACAACTCTCTTATTGACTTCATATTTCGGGGACTTGTTTCATCTAAACCATACAATAACAAATGATTTATTGTTATGAAAAGGGCAACTTTCATTTAAGATGTTGAATGTTAAATGAAATTACAGAAATTTACACTAATTACATTGAATTATTATTAAATTTCTAGTATCTATTTGACAAATCTGTTACATAGACAGATATTTCGTTACTAATCTTATCAAAATACTCTATAAATCATGCTATTACACAAGTAACTGTGATTTACAACAGCAAAAGTAACCATATGTTCACTAATGAGTGAATAAAGTAAGGAATTCCCCGAAGTTCTAGTATAAAATTGTGAAGTCAGTCATATGACGACTGGAGCGACGATTCACCCTTGTGATTGGATGATCAGCATGCTATATCGAAAATTGAGCAAATTTGGAACATGGGTAATTGAATGATATCTAGAAAGTTCAACGGTATCTTAGTTACTTTGACGTAAGAACGTCCCGAGTTAGATATCATGTGTGGTTGTGTGTCTGCAGAATGATGAAAACTTCAAAGTAGAGTAATGCCACTGATTAGTTGTACTTGGTTTCCAATAGCTCTTGAGGTGACAATATCTCATGATGAAAATTAATTTGAAATTCATTATGAGTATTGTTTAAGGTATACATTATTACTAGTATTTGTAGTATAGATAGGGAAGGAAAGAAAACTTGGTTAATTATCATGTTACCTTAAACTTTGTTTAATTCTATCTCTTTCCCTAGATAATTTATCCACTTCCAAACTTTGTACTTCTAATTCTTCTCTTAACCGTGCCAACTGTTCAGACAGACGTTTTCTTTCCACATCTGACTCTTCGCCGCGACGTGTAAGATTATTTAATTGCTCTTTCAGTCCAGAACTTCGAAGTCTAAGACGATGAACCTAGAAAAGTGGGTTCAAGAAGTAAAGATGAAATAAATTTCATCAGAAAATTGTTGCATATCATCCAAATAAGTTATCCATTCAACCCTTACTTAATTGTTCTGGAACTCAGTTTATATGAGCATGTCCTTTACGTAGATTTACGATAAATACTATGTGCTAATTCGTTGCTTTAGCTGTAAAGAATATGGAACAAAGTATGTGGTGAACTGTGCACTCGCTAACTAAAGAGCATGGATAAAATTCTCAGAGTTATTCCAATTTTCATGTATCAGTTCCCGAATAAGAAGGTAACTAGTCATTTACACAGTACTATTTACAGTCACAATAATGGTGAGGCGAGTGATGGTAGTTAAATTAATTATGAAATTACGTTTATAATCCTAAGACATTTACTACTAAATTCATTTTTCAAAAACTCTTTGAAATCGTAAGCGAGTCCTGTTTACCACAGTGTATGTATATAAATCTTTAGGCAATGCAATATCTGTCAACATTTTCTGTGTTATCAAGTATAATGAACACTTCCGTAATTCTTTACTCTTCTGCCTTTAGTCGTTTTTGTTATTTCACTGTCAGTGATTTTTCAGTATTGGTTTCAGAGATGTATTTCTAGACTAACTATAAACAAAATCGGATTCTGACAAGTAGCTAAATAAAAAGATGATAACTAGAAGGCCTGAATACAATGTATTTGGCTTCATCAAACACATGGAGTATACTCTGCCTAGAATTTTAAAGCACATTCATTGCCCAAAAGGATTCAGCTGTGTTTTAAACTCATGCGAGTGTTTTTAAATTCTCTTGTAGTTTTGTTTGATTTGTTAGAGAATATTGCTCCAACGTACATAGTGTTTCATCACTTATTTACGTCAACTTTCCTCAACTGGATTTTAATTACAGCGTCAGAACTTTAACATTACTGACTACTAGAAGCTATTGAAATGTTTGATGGCTATTTACGAAACCATATAAAAATGCGGTTTACTTGGAGTTTTGAAAGTAACTACATTTGATCCCAATGATTGCTGTGGTAAGCGATTTTAAGAACAGATGTTATGCGAATGTATTGATTAGTGAGAGTTTTGCAAATCCGAAATTATAATAAACCGGTTGTTACTATTCTCATATGGTTTGAATTATTATCTAAAACTTTCCACTTACTTATATTATGTAAAGTAGTAAAAGTCGTATTATAGAAATGTTGAAAATTTCT